ATATATATATATATATATATGTACGTATGTATGTATGTATATATGGATGGATTGATAGCTGGATAGATAGATGAATAGATAGATGGATAGATAGATAGATAGATGAATAGATAAATGTATGAGAGGTCCTGCGAGAGTCCGAGAGAATGAAAATCTATTTTACTCACTTAGTTACTTTTCGGTAGATTTCCGTGACACTGACTCTCAGTTCTGAAGATTAAATTCCTCGCGGGGTCTTCTATATAGCCTGTGAGTACATGTGGGGGTAAACCGTTTGGCCAATGACCGCTCATCTTTGCTACCATTTTCAATGGAACTATCCAATCGCATCCGGCCGATTAGCAAGAATTCCAAAAGGTCATCTATTTGGATGAAATACAGTTTTTTCGTAGTCACTTTACAGTAAAGAAGAAATATTTCAAATTGATAACTTTTCGATTGTACGCATCCAGAATCACTTTTTCTCGCGTTCTATTCAGGTTCCGCAACACGTTTCATCTAGAATTCTTTCGTCGTAACGATATATCTATTATGGAACATGGTTGCGCCCGTAGCAACGTATTTCGTAGCAATTCGTATCACATATTCAATATATATTTTTAAGAATTTAGATCCTAATTATTATCGGTATCGTTATTGCATGTATTTATTTCGTTCGTGGTGGCGAAGCGTGTAGTTGTCGTACGTACATACATGTTTATTTTAAAAACATAAAAAAATCACGAATAATATTTAAAAAGAAGATTAAATAACCGAAATTGACAAATCAGTGTTGTATTTCGATTAAGAAAAACTTTGATTACATATTAATTACTTTATTTGACTTTTAACATTATAGGTGATATACATATATATATATATATATAAGATGTGCACATCTCTAATAAGAATGCGAATGTTTCCTCGAGAGTAATCCATTCCGCAAAAGTGCCATGAATGATCGTATCATGTCTCGTGCTTCTTCTTAATCCATATCTAGAAAAGAACAGCTATTTTCTTATGTTCGTCAAAATTAGTGGATTCGATTCAAATGTATGCACTATACTTCTGTTACGTATATGATTGGTAAAATCAAGAATTGTATTGGTTGACTAAATTAATAAAAAATTAATCGAAGAATACGTATGTTCTCTCTCGCTTATATCCATTTTGACCCACATGAATAAATTTTCTTTTTAAATTTTGATTTAATTTATTCTATATTATATTTGGAAATTCTTTAGAATTCTTTTTTTCTATTCTATATCGGCAGAAGTGGACATTATCTAAATGGAAATCTCTCCGGTTTTTCCGAGACAGCTCTCTGCTCGTCTAAATTCTTAGACGAGCGATACAGTGAAATGACAAGGGTTCGGCTATCTATTTTTTTGACTGTGTCATCAAGCATAATCTCGCTCTATTTTTCGTTTCAGCTCTATTGGTTAAATTTTTATACGCATTCATCGTAACGTGCATTTTCTTTCTGATCACAGACGATCGAGAACGTATGTTGGCGCATTATGTAAATAGACGCGTGTTAGTCGACGACGATCGACTAATAAAAAAAAAACGCTGGCGATCCATCATAACTGTTTCGGTAGCGGGATGCTGCGTTGGTTCTTCTTATTAGAAGGCTCTCGCTAATCGCACTTCTCAGATCGATCCGATACGGCGCGCCTTCGCTCGATCGCAGCGAAATGTACATACCTCCCTCTGCACTCGCGTTGTTGGCATGGTTCATCGTGGCAAGTTCAGTGAACGTATTACGAGTCGCGAATGGATCCGAGTGTAACGGAACGGTGTCGCGGCTCGGCGCGGCATGGTGGACGACCTTCGCTGATACGCGGCGAGTTTTACAAGTTACCGTGTATTTGACCGTGCCGAGATCGTTTGATACGACCAAGTATATGTGTATATATCTGGAATTGAATGAGATTATGCGCGACTCACCTTCGAGTTTCAAACTCCTGATTATTCCGACGGTCAAAAAAGCTAGAGATCTTGGTCTATTGTCTTTTATGTAAATTATTATTAGTACTTATTCGTTTAATTATCCCTCATTGTCAGCTCGTAGGATTAAAATTCTACTTATTGTTAAATTTAATTGTATCATTGAATTTATCAAGTCAAATCGACACTTAACCATTTAACCGTTGAAATAAATTGCGTGTGTATAAAAAATGGCAGTTGACTGGTCGATTGATCAACGAATATTTCGGATGTATTTTGCTCGCATTCGTGGATTGTGATGTGCGTCATGACAATTAAACGATGCGAGGACATTAAGAACGGAAACGAATCGTAGAAAAGTACGCGGTTTTTTTTCTTTTAGTACCTAATCGCTCACGCAACACGCTCTGTTTATCTATGATGGGTTAGCCTCGTTTTGGCGACGGTTTTCAGGCTAATTATTGTAAGCATTATTCTCCGAAAATGTATCTGTTTCCGTGGTTGAATGCGCCATGCAATGTGTCACGTGTGTAATCATTCGTAACTATATCTGGATCCGGAAATTTGCAGGTCACACGCTGCAACATAACATAATGTTTCCATATCTTCCATATATCTTTCTTCTTTAACAACAACAACAACAATAATAATAGTAATAATAATAATAATAATAATAATAATAATAAAATATAATAATGAAAATAATAATAATGCCCTATTATAATTAAACCCTTGTCAGTTAAGATTTTGATTAAGTATACTTATAGTTTCAAATTAATTAAGAGATAACTCAAAATTCGAACGTAATACAATTATTCAACAAAAAATGACTTTTTTTTAGACACAAAAACGAGATTTATTTCCTGTAGTTTTTATCACTTTTGGATGCTGAATCCGAATCTGCTTGTAGAATTGCTTTATTATCACGAACGTCACAATTTCAAGAAATTTAGTAGTGCAATTAAAGTTGTAAAGAATATTTCTATATATTTTCTACTTTTATGATCAAATATGAGATTTACGTATTTTGTCATGTTATTATAATGTAAGAATATTAAATTATTTTAATGCGCACGATGATGATGGGGTTATGAATTCGGAGCAGCCAATCAAAATTTAGCCTCAAATAACGCGACAACATGATCGTATTCATAGTATCGTGCGGATAACCACGGAATAAAAAGAAGGAGACCAAACTTAAGCGGCCGATCACGAAAAAGTTGGGCTCGATTTCTGGTTTCGGAAAAGCGCTATACGGAAGAATAGAGATCCTCTAACTAATCAGAGTATGGCCACCTGAAGTGACCGTCATTTTTCATCGAAATTGTACACCTTGTATTTTTAAGCCCGATGTCCACGATGCTAGAAATCGGTCTGAGATCTCAGATAGAGAAAAAATTAACAAATTGCATTTAAATAATTTGATTATATGATCATTGGTCAGTTCTTTCTTCATCCGAGGTCTCGGACCGATTTCTAGCATCGTGAAGACAAGCCTTTACATCATGGTTGCAACATTGCAGATTGCGCTGTAATATAATATCGCTAGATATATATTGTAGATATTGTGCCCATATTCAGAACGTAAAATTTTATCTCTAAAATTCTATAATATGCGTAACGTAAATTAGCATATTAGCACGCTAACATCGATATGAACGTGTTCTACATACGGGCCAATGAATTGTAATATATAATATACTCGTATATATAATTGTTACGGTGCGAGATCTTACAAATTTTGCAGCATTGTTACAAAGACATTAAAAATATTTTGGCTTTTGTGGAATAAATTACTATCACATATGCGAAACATATAAGGAGCGGTGCACTTGTAGACAGTTTTATTACACACATCGGTCGATTCCTAGTATTTTTTTACTGTTTTACCAATGAGATTATATTATTTTAAATTAGCCAATTAGCAATGTGAGCAAATGATATACACCTAAAACATATGTCAATTATGTACGTTACATGATTAATTATTTTCATTGATTTAGAAATTATAATGCTCGTTGAAACATTCGTTGTCGCCGCCGCGTGACAAGATTTTTCAAACTTTATGATCAATTTTCATAATTTTTTTGGAATATTTAGATTTAAAAAATTCTTTGAATATTACAAAGAAAATTAAATAGAATGCGTGGAGTTTCTTAGGACCAGTTCCACAACTCATGGTTAACTCTTAACCGAGGTTCAACTTATTTATTGTCTCTTTCCAATTTTAACAAATTGAACTTTCGTACCAACATTATCTCCTCCATTTTTCGAGAAAATGTTGTCTACTCAGTGGCCTAGATTCCACCGAGGGTTTAATCCGGATCAAAATATAAGAACCAATTACAGTCGAGCGTTCCTCTGTCGTTTGACTGTAACAGAGGAGTACTCAACTGTAATTGGTTGGTTCTTACATTCTGATCCGGATTAAACTATCGGTGGAAACTAGGTTAGTTTTGCCAATTTGCCATTATAATGAGCTTAAAAGAACCTCTTAAGTTTTTTTGAACTTAAAATTCCCACACCCATTTTATGATAAAAATTCCCTACGCGTAAGGAAAAATCTCTACGTTTCTTAATAACACTGTGGCTGACAGTACAAGAAGTGCAAGCAACGCGAACAGATCTATTAAGCCGGCGGCACACGATGCTTGTTTCCTTATTGGATCAGAATCTTGCCATCGTATTGGCTGCGGTACTGATAGTGCCAACATCGCACCCAATACGATGGCAAGAATCTATTCCAGCAATCCAGCAAGAAACCAAGCATCGTGTGCCGCCGGCTTCGGCTTTGTATTGGGATTAACGAAAGGTTAATTTGTCATTTTCGTGACAAGCATTTTCGCTGTCTTGGTCGATTATTTATATCTCTCGAGAGTGCAGTCGCGAATATAAAAGTATTAGAAAAATGGAGTGTTTAATTGGTATTCAGTGCAAAGATTTTGTGCTAGTCGCGGCGGATATGACAACTACACAGTCTATTATAGTTATGAAAAGCGGTAAATACATTTATCATGTTTTATATATTGCCACATCAAATTTTCGTCATTGATGATACATACATATATATGCACGCAAACATACACATATAAACGTATAGCATTATATATTATGTATTATGTAGTAAAAATCATTTTCAATATATCATATTATAATATATGTACACAATAGCAATGTGTATCGTTTACTACCAATATTTTCAATCAAAACTTTACATCCTACTGTTACATTATCAATAATTGCTATTACAACAATAATTAAACAGTAATTATTATAATTTGCAGATGAACACAAAATTCATAAGATTTCCGACAAACTTGTCATGGCAATATCTGGAGAATCTGGCGATACAACGCAG